GGGGGGGGGGGGGGGGGGGGGGGGGGGGGGGGAGGGAAGTAGGGAAAGAACCCGTGAATGGTCCTAAAAATACCGCCGTCGAGAGTACTCCGACCCCAAATCGACCCATCGGACAGAATGAATTCTTCCCTCGACAAAAGCATAACTTGAGCGAGGGCTAACAGCCCCATAAGGTCGCAAACGGGTTTCGCAGATCGATTCGCCCCTTTGAGCGATCCGCACGGAGATCTCGCATGCGAGCCCAGTTCTTGGAACTCGCTCATTAGAATCGAGAACTGGCGATGGCCCAATCGTTCCAGTGCTCGGACAAAAAATTGCGCGAGACCTTAAGCAATGCGTCTTTCACGTCCGATTTCACGACGTTAAAACCCGATTCCCGTCTCCTCCAGACATTCCAGCAGCTGAAATTTCCTCGAGGAAACAGGTCGCACGTGGCCACCACGCGACCCCAGTCCCCCCTCCCTCGGTCGAACGAGGCAATGACGTCGACCGGGTTTTATCGGTCAGATTTCGCGGTGGCCGAGCGGGGAGAGGTCTTCGGCCCCTCTCATCCCTTTCCATCGGATGGAAGTGCACGGAGAAGGGAAGAATGGTGCGACCTATAAACCCAGAGGTGCGTGGAAGGAACGTAAAAGGGAGGGTTGGATCTCCCTTGATTCGCTCGGCCGATTCGAGAAAGTCCTTTTCCCATCTCACAGCTTTTCTGGTGTGATAGAGAGGACATCCTCTCTCTTTTTCTCTTTCCATCCGGAGAGTACTTTCAGATCCATGAAAGTCTCCCCAAGAGAGAGGAGAGAAAACACCTACGCACGCACATGCACGGTTGAAACGGTCACGAAGTCTACGGAAGCATGACACATGGATTGGGGATGCCGCCCTTCACATTCGGCTTCACGCGACGGCGGGAAAGTGAGAATGAACGTTTTAAACTGCGGGATGATCCGTCAGATTCGAAAAACTGTCCCCTGCCCTCGCCTGAGATGAGCCGTCTTAGAATGGACGCTAAGAAAAATCCGATTCTCCCGAGACTGACGCGCTGGGGTCTCCGGATTGAAAGTCCCCTCATGACCTTCCCCCCCCCCCCCCCCCCTCCTCCCCCCCCCCCCCCCCCCCC